CGATTCCCGCAGATACGACGCATAATACGAGCAATAAAACGCTACACGAAGCCACTCCATAAAACAAATGAATTTCTGATCCCGTCGACTGCTCGGTTACCATTCATTTTAATTCGAGTGTGACATCGTGTCATATGGCGATCGTTGACGAAGCAGAATGAAGCTGAAAAAAAAAAGAGCTTGACGTTTTGCACAGTGCACGAAATAATGACAGGTTGGTGCGGTTTGTCCGCCACTCGAGACGCGCAAAAATGGTCGATATCGTATACGAATACATACAATATATACGTTGTCATATTACAGTATCACGTATCATCGCGGACGTTCTCTCGGATCGTATAACGTCGACTACAGACAGTCACAAAAGTGGATAAAATTAATAAAATGGATAAATCGTTACTAGGAGGAAAATATTTATGTTATCGCATAAAATGGATATGTAATATTTCGTAAACTTCAGTAGCATATCAGTAGAGAGCAGATTATACTACAATACAATAATAAAGCTAGAAACAGGACCCATTTATATAAATACATCAACTAAATAGGAGAAACGCTAAATTAATTACAGTCAAAGTTAGATATTAGAATACATATAATTAATTTGCTTTTTTAATGAATTTATCTCAAAAATATGACTGCGTGTTGATTACTTTCGAACTTTCAACACAATATCAATCTGAAATAATAATCTCCTCAAATTTAATTATATCGTTGATTTCATGCTATTAACATTTTAAAACCTGTAAAGAACATAGACTAATAACATTGAAGCAATTAAAATAAATTAATGTAAAAGATGTATTATGATAGAAAATATATACAAGGAATTTATTATTTTAATAGGGAATATAAATAGTCGTATTTAAAAAATAAATAAATATTATTTATAAAAATCTTAGAGAGAAAGAGAGCATACATTTTTAACATAAATAAAAAATCAAATTTCTAAAAAAATAAAGAGCGAAGAGATGCGAAGAGGTATTACTTAAACTTGGTGAGTTACTTATCATCTCGTACTATAATAAAATGAAAAATCGTGTTAAAGAGAATTTTAATATCTAATGTTGTATAGCAAATGCGCGCGGAGTTGCTATCGTGAAACACGTCGAATTTTCTTCCACAAAGAAGCACGATATAAACGCCAGAGGCGGAAAACAAAAGAGGAAAATGAAAATAAGGAAATGAGAAAGAGGAAGTGAGAATGAAATCTGCTCGGGACGAAACGCCGGGATTGTCGGATCTGTTTTTGCAGGCAACCTGGTTCGGACAGGTTTTTAATTTATTTCCCTTGAGATCACGGGGAGCGTACGAATTATATGCTTGGCACAGAGAAACGGGGGGATAGTCCGAGCAGAGTAATCTCCCCGTCGATACGAGCATCTTTTGCATATCATTGCGAGTGCATCGCTAATGATTCACACGTTATACTTGATGCCTCGAGCGATTTTTCAGTTGTACGTGAACCGCCATAGCATGCAGTATTGTACTTAATATTTTTATCCTTGTATTCTTTACAATTTCAATTCCTTTTTTTTGCAAATAAAGAAGACTTTCCCTATTGTACACATATCATTTATATACTTCACTTCTTTTTCCAAAGAAATTATTATATATAAATATTTAATATCTATTTCTTTACATTCTTTGGAACCTTTCTTTAAATAATGAATTTTACTCTTAAACATTGAAAATTCTGCCACTGTTTTTCAAGAGTGGTAGAATTTTCGCTTTTTAGAGTAACTTTCCATTTCAAATAATTCAGAGACTCAAGGAACACATCAAGTCAGGAGAAAGTCAAAACAACTTTATTTTAACGTCATGAAAATCGAAATAATAACTTTGGTTACAAAATTTGATTGTTTTATTGACGTTAATAAAGTCATTTCAATTTTTTGTTGACTTTTGTGTGATTCTTTGGGGAGTAATGTTATAAAATGAGAAAGCTTTGGTCCAGTCGGGATAAATTTAATCCAAATTTTTAAAAAACATACTGTTTGGACATTGTTAAAATTTGGGTCAAAGTTACCCCATTTTACGATACGCGAAAATATATTCAGGGGTCAATTATCGTATTATCGATTTACACTAAATTACATAAAGTCAAGTCAGATTTTCCTATCTGGAAATGGTTCTGCAGATAACCACCCAGCATGCAAACGCACTCGAAAACAAACGGTGTAGACTCTCATTCTTCACCGGGCTTCGCTCTCTATTTCTCCCAACATTCATCTGATCCCGATATCCCAGGGCTCTATCTCGCGCTATCGATTGCTGCAGACATCGCCGTCACCGCGTCGCATCGCGTCGCGTTGTGTCGCATCGCGTTCTATTCGTCTCTTCCTGTGTCTGTGCGCGATACGAGGCACATTTTCCACTGTCGTTCTACCTGCTAGCGATCATTGTCCTTTCCCGGTACATCTGTCGAGCCGACTTGGTGCAACAAGTTTGCCATTGTCCCGCATAACTGTCGTAAGCCGCGGGTGGAGAATCCCTTGACCGGATCTCGGTGGCGGCGACCTTGCGCCTCGAACGATTGGAATTTCACGCGAATTGTCGGAATCTTCCCTTGTCACGATGCATTATGATATTCAGAAGTTTGTTATAATATGATTGACGGTAGAGAACGATGAATATATGAAAGAGCGAAAAAAGTTCGAATATTTTCTTTTAATTGTAATACTTTCAATATATCATCGATATTTCAACATTTTGTAAGTATGATAAATGTACCAGTTAGTGGACAGTTAATAAACATGAACTAATTATTGAACGAAATGACAATTTTAAATATTAAGCTTTTAATGATATATATACACAGAGAAAAGGTTTCTTTTAATTGAACAAATTTTGATGCATTATATAAATAGTCCAATCAAATGGATGTTTAAATTAAGAATATGATTCAAATTGAGCATTAAAATTGAATTTTTTTCAATTAAACAAAATATGTTCCATTTAAAATAAAATTTGTTTCAATGAAACAAATGTAAATAGAACTTTCGAGTCCAAACAAATCTTTTTCTCCATGTATGACTCTAAATAAATTCGTTGTTAACAATTTAATAAGACAATTTATGACAATTTAAAAGAAACTTTTTTAAATTCTTATAACTGGTCTTAATTTTTAAAAGAATTTAAAACAACTAAAATTAAAATTTTAGTCATTTTGTCCAATAATTGGATCTTGTCTACTAACTGCAGATACATTTAACTAGTAACTTTTATTCGTAATTTTCTGTCGTCAAACGGACGTTTACTGCATTGCAGATAAAAATGTTTTAAAAAGTTAGCTTTGTCAGCTACATCTCTTTTTCTTTTCATTGTATGAAACCAATGTCCTCCTCTTAACACTTTAAACAAATATCAAAATACCGCAGTATGCGATTCCATCTGTCGTTGGCACGGAGCACGAGTGCCAGGGCGAGGGGGTCAAACCTATGAAAGTAGCTGGAAAAAGACACGCCGAGAGGGCTTCAGCAGAGAGGGCTTTTTCATCCTGTCTCCAACCTCTCGTTGCTTTTTTCTTTTCGTTATCCGCGATGAGAATCGTGCGACAAAGGCTGCTGGCGTTAATACCGCGGCATTGCGAATCACCATTGTTGCAACAACCCTTTGTGTTTGGAATTATTTATATGGAATTTGTAAATCGAATAAACGAGATATTGTATTATTTTGAAACGGAAATTGTAAAACATATAACTCTCACGTTTTAATTGACCTTTTATCGAATTTACATCTTCCCGGAGTTCAATACTTCTTGTTATCTTTTTAACGTTTATTTTACGTCACTGCTTTATTATTTGTAAAATTTTTCCGTTTTATTTAATCTTACGCAAAATTGTCCTATTAGAACAATTCTGTCTATTGTAAATAAAAACTAGTTCTTTTACGTCCACTTCTACCAATGTAGATTAATTTTAGTCTCAGTTTAACTGACTCATTATTTCCTTTTTAATTCTTAGAAACAAATAAAAAGTAAGTTAAATCAAGATTAAAGTTAATCTACGTTGGTAGAAACGGGATTTAGATTCTGTACATTTATTGTATACGTCGTACTTACCCCGCTCCAGCCATAGGGGAGGAAACCGCCATGCTCGGACCAATTGTTGGAATCCACGTAAAACATGCCCGCCGCCATGACAAAGACCCAAACGGCGAGATTGATGGCGTTCAGCACGTTGTTGAACACCAGTGACTTCTTTACCCCTGCCGCCATTAGCAGCATCATAAGTATCGTGATGACGAACGCGAGAAAATCTGGCGGCCGTCCTGAAATAAATGTGATTCGAAACTTTAACAAGTCATTATTCTTATCTTATATTATTATATTATTTATCTTATATAAGTGATGAATATGTTATTTTGGAAATATAAAAAAATCTAAAGACCATCCAGAACAATCGTGATTAAAAATAGCAAGATTCGTTAGAAATGCAGAATTGTTCTACATAAAAGATGAGTCTGAGAAGAATAACAAGAAACAACTCGTAAATGAAATAAGACGCTTAGTTTATAGAAATGCTATATTTCCTTAAAAATATATTTTCTTTAAATGTTTTTTTTTTTAATCAATGAAATTAAATTGCCAATTTACTCAATTTTTAGAGCTAAAATTGTAATTGAAAAATGGCTGTGTGAACGTCACATATATGCATATATATATATTTTTTTTGCGTCGATAATACGTCGAATGTGCCAATTTAATTAGAGCTTTTCACAGTAAAGTTTTTTCATGTAGAATTTTTTCTGCCTATTTTAGAACATCATTCAATTCTTTACTAGCGAATGAGATTCGCGGAGCTAACAGAATTGAATTAACAGGTCGTTAATTCTATCGACATTTCGTTACGAGGAATATGTGTGCGGAGAAACTTTCAACCGGGAATTAAGTAATGTATCAGCGAACGATCGATATGTTCGAACGGCAAAAACCGTTGTACTCGCTACAATGAAAAAAAAGTACCTAAATGCCCGGGATTCTTACGTCAAATTACTCGGATCTCCTCTACGCTTCGCTCAAACACGACGTTCCTGTGACAGCCAAAAAGCGGAAGAAATTCCCGAGGCGGAAATTCTTCAACAAGTAGAGAACCGACGTAATTCATGCGGTCGGAAATAATCTGACGATTCATGAGCTAGGGAAAAAGCAGCTATTTTTCCAAGAAGCGCGTGGGAAGCTTGCCGCTTCTATTCAAGTGTCAAGATCGAAAAACTCGATTCGTAGAAAAATCAAATAATAGATCGCCGATAGAAATTCATGCTGCAAAATGAATGAATTCTCGATACATATTCGGTATAGAATAAATTTCCACTAACTTACATCAGTAGCCTCTGTCTACTTTTTGCGGAAAGAAACGGTGGATTGTGTTGATAGTGTTACCGTGTTTATAAAAGAAGAGATATAAACCGCATCAGAAGGGATAACTCCGCATCGTGATGAATAAAGATTGCCACATTATTTAAAACGGAAGAAAACAATCTGCTCGAGTGACTTTCTTAAGAAAAACTTGAGAGATGGCTGATTAATATGTCCTGACCATAGCGGCTCTTCAGTTGCTACAAATTCCTCGTCCTAAAATTTCATAACTTTTCCCTGATTTCCAGACAAATAATTTTGCTTAACTTTAATAATACTTCAAAATTTTTTATATCTTCGTTCTGATTTCGAAATCATTAAATATTTTGTTGAAAAAGCAATTTAACATAGTAATGTAAATTATTATTAATGTTGCTGACACTGCTTGCATTTAATTGTCAAGTTGGTACACTCTAAAAAATATCAGCGTGGATTTAACACTCGTGGTGTGAATTTAACCTCTAGTGTTTATATCGACACCATCATGGAATGGATTTAAAATTCATGGTGTTAAATCGACATTGATGTTAATATTAACACAGTGAGAATTACACAGACACCAGGGGTGTTAAATTCACGCCGAAATTTTTTAGAGTGTAGTACTTCAAAACTGGGCAAGTATGATGTATCAAACCTTCTTTAAAAATAAAGAATTTTTATTTTCCAAAAATTTTTTGCAAAATTCCTTGTCTTTTCCCTGATTTTTGATCGTTTTCGATTTCCTTAACATTTTCCTGATTTCCCTGATTTCCAGTTTTGTGACAACTCTATAGGCTTCTAAAGTCTCTCTTCGAATTGCGAGATAAAAAATCCGCGCTGCACTATTCTATAGCAAGCAACGTAAAGAATCAGATGCATTGGTATGACCTCGATTCGCCAGTCCTGTTGCTGATTCATTTCCTTTGCAGCGTCAATGCACAGGCTACGCGCGCAAACGAAAGAGGCAATTTTCGACCGAATCAAACGGTTTTGATCACTCAAGCGACCCGCTCGATCTCTACGTTGGCGGACGCATACGTTTGTATGCAAATACAATCGTCGAACGATGTGCAAAATGCATTGCCGGTTGAAAGACCGCGATCAAACACATGAACAGGTATAGATAAACGCAAACTTTAACGGTAATTAACTCGGTAAATTTCGCGATGTAAATACGAAATGATCAAGTACCGAAACCCTAATCCTTAAAATATGGTGTGACATTTATTCCAAATAATTAAATGTTTATTATTATTAATCGTACTTGAAAAACATACAATAAACTAAATATATAAAACAAATATTTATCTTTCATTAAAGTTAAATGCGTTCCTATATGTATAGAAACGAAAGTTTGCAAATGATCAACTTTAATTGCTTATAATTTAAAAATTATTACAACTATCAACACATCGTTCAAGTGTAATTACTCTTACTCTCGATTTCTATTGACTCTTATTAAACCCTTTTGAACAAAAATCCTCGAAAAGATTGAAATGTGCGATTTGTGGCGGGATAAGACTTTGAAAGTCCAACACTTTAAGTTCCTAGAACTTAAAAGAAAATCATATATCAATATCAAGACGGATCTCTTACAGCAAGACTTCAAAGCTTAGGAAAATTATACGGAAAGTCGATCATCATAAAACGAGTCGATCCGAGTATCGAAATTCGATGCAATTGTACTCGACAATGAAATCTCAATTAAGAAGACGCCTCCGTCACGACTATTATTACGCTAGTATTTAATTCCATGGATCAGACATGATCCCGTAACGAAGAAACTTTCCAAGGATGATGTCGGCTCAGAAGATGCGAAGGTAATGTAAGAAAATCCGCGTATAGAATGCCGATCACGAACATAAATGGCAATATAGACGAGATCGCAAGCTTTGGGATTCATCTCCACGAAATAGAGTGCATGCCTGTATGTCGGCCTCGATATCGAACGGCTTTGCTCGCGTTCGCAGACATAATAATCGATAACAGCGTACATAAGAGAAGATGCATTGCATCGTCGAACTTGACGAGGGAGCTTGTTCTCTCAGGAATTGTTCTTCGAGAAAACATTTTTCTATGCACTTCCCTTGAGCCTTGATAAGTTCTATTGTTGATTTTCTCAAGTTTTCACAAGTCGCGGTAATATTGAGAAGTGTGAAGTACAATTAGCAAACATGATCTCTCTCTCTCTCTCTCTCTCTCTCTCTCTCTCTCTTTCTCTCTCTCTCGATATCTCTCACACGTTTTCTTTAAACTGTCATATAGGAATACACGTCAACGTGCTCCAGTAACTGTGACACTCTTCGCATGAGCATGACCGCATTATTGGATAAGTTCAATGATTCCGTTATCTACAACGACGCCGTCGGGTATAAGCCGCGCTGAAACTAGAGTTCTGATTAAGTATTCCCTCTAACTGCCGGTTAACGATCGCGAGAACAGTGTCAGGAATAATTTTACGAGGCAATGTCGTCTGCGAGCCATGTCACATCTCTTGCTGGTCCTGCGAGGCTTCCGTTCTCTCGTAGACTATTCTCGAAAAGATACAATTGACGAGACAAAAGAGGATAAGAAATTACACAAATCGTTTAAGAGAGACCGAGGATCGTTGACAGTTTTCACAATTTTGGCAATCGACTTTTTGAACAATTAATCACTCAGTTTAAACTGTACTAAAAGCAAACTTTTCTGATTTCTTTACACTAAAAGAAAAATTACTAAATTTTAATACATATTTCTTTGAAGAATAAACATTTACAGCAAATAAATATCTACTCAATAAAAAATGATAGTTAAATTATAAATTAATAGTTTTTGTATCAAATAAATATATGTTTATATTTAGTAAATATTTACTTAAAACTATCCAACAAATATTTAGTATTTTTTTAATGTACAATATAATGTTTTTTTTTTGTAGTAAATGAAGTGCAAATATACTGTACATTGTAATCAGCGTAATAGTACGGTATTACGTTGGAATCTGTAATAGTATGGTAACATCACGGTGTAAAATAGTTATACGACAAACTCGATGTTAAATTAACTAAAACATAATAAAAATAAAAAACTAATCGTAGATATGTACATATTTTTTAATATTTTAAAGTTATTTTGCAATGATCGAATAGCAAGATGCTGTTGCAAAAAAAACACAAACCTAAATTGTACTAGATTAGCTTGCTTTAATATAGAAAAATATTAAATATAAAACATTTTGTTAGAACTAAGTTGTAATTAAATGTTACATACTTCTCATGCATGAGCAGTAACAGGTCAAGTTAAGGGGATCCTAAATTTGATCGAAGTTGATAATGCAGACTTTTTCATTTTCAAATTCAATAATATAATGACATCTCTGATTCATTTTTTACATTATATTATATCTACTAGAAAAGACATTAAAAATGTTAAAAAAGGCGTTGAGTATATTTTGTAGAAAAAACTAAATATAATGTCATACAAAAAGAAGTGAAATCAAAATAAACTATTTTAAACTCTGTTTTTCACAATTTCAAGTATTTATTTAAAAGTATATATAGAACGCAATTCTCTGAGCGGTATCTTGAAAGCATCCTTATGATGTGGACGTCTTTCGGACATTCTTTAAGACAGTATTATATGAGATAATTTCACAATTATAATATACTAAACACATACACACACACACACACACACACACACACACACACACACACACA